AGGTCGACGATATCGATGTTGTCTGGCGCGAGGCCCCCACCAATGGCCTGACGTATTTCCAAGCATTGAATGCCTTTGAAGACCTCCCGGATGACCTTCGACTGCTCATGCCCTTGTTCAACGATTGCGTTATGCGTTTGGGCACTGCCAATAAAACCATGGAACAATGGGAAGACTTGATTAAGCTGAAGACCGGCGGGGTTTCATCGTCCACATTCCACACTTCGTCTCCAACTGAACTAGGCAAGTTTAACGAGGGGCTTCAGTTCTCTGGTTTCGCTTTGGATCAGAATATTCCCGACATGTTAGAAATTCTGACCACTCTTATCACGGAGACGGACTTTACTAGTGCCTATGCGCCAGCTATGATCCAGGAATTATTGCGACTGACTACAAATGGCGCACTGGATAGTGTTGCCGCATCAGGTCATCGTTTTGCTCTCAATGCTGCAGCAGCAAGTCTTTCTCGCAGCTTTTGGGTACAGGAGCAGCAATCTGGTCTGGCACAGCTCCAGGCCACTGCTAATCTCCTGCGCGATGCTGAGACCTCACCCGAACGGCTGGCAGAATTGATTGAGAAACTTCGTTTGATCCAATCTTTCGCCATCTCCAAATCATCTAGTTTCCGTGTTCGCATGGTGTGTGAACCGAGCAGCGCACATCAGAATGAAGGCGTTTTGCAGAAATGGCTGGCTGGCTTGCCCCAGATCCGCTCACCTACATCTGTGGATGCCGGTTCAATGCAGCAAATTTCTAGTAAAGCATTTTACGATATGCCTTACAAGGTTTACTACTCGGGGCTAGCTATGCAAACGGTCCCGTTCGTTCACAAATCCAGTGCACCACTTAGCGTGCTCTCTCAACTCCTTACACATAACTATCTTCACCCGGAGATTCGGGAGAAAGGAGGTGCGTATGGTGCCGCAGCCAGCAACGGTCCGGTCAAGGGTATTTTTGCCTTGACCAGTTATCGGGACCCGAACCCCCTCAATACTCTGAAGGTATTCCAGAACAGCGGCATTTTCGCCCGTGACCGTTCTTGGTCTGAGCGGGAATTAAACGAGGCCAAACTAGGTATCTTCCAAGGCCTGGACGCCCCGATGAGTGTTGATGAGGAAGGATCCAGATATTTCATGAGTGGCGTCACGCATGAAATGGATCAGCGCTGGAGAGAGCAGCTCCTCGATGTCACTGCGAGGGATGTTAATGAGGTTGCACAGACTTTCTTGGTGGACGGCCCCCGGCAATCTGTGTGCCTTTTGGGCGAGAAAAAGGATTGGGCAGAGGATTGGGAGGTGCGGAGCTTTCCATGAACGCTGGTGAAGCTGAAGCATATCCCGAGGACGCCTCTACTACCGCCTAGACGTTGGAAAGTATCAACTCTTCATGACTTGAATATTGGATGAGCACTTGTATCATATATCCCTGTATTTTTATATGACCTTTGTGTTTATGTGTATATAGACTTTGGCTTTGTATTATACCTCATATCCCCACTCGCCTTTTTTTTTCTCTCCCCCTCTTTGGTCAGTGCATATGTACTACCATGCACAACCAGCACACCATGAACGCGCGTCTCCAGAGCAGAAACACCTTCTCCATTACCGATCTTCATTTCCATGATCGGTAGATGGCTGTTTTCCTTGTCCTATTGATGGGCAGGAAAAGGCAATAATCAAGCGCAAGATCAAACGGAATGTGAACCCCTTAACGGTACACTTCTGATCTCCGTTTTTCAGACCCTCCCTGAAATCTCTGTCAGCCTACGCAGGGCGGACTAAAAACGTGAGAACATATCAGACAGAGTATTACACACCTTGTGGACGAATGGCACCTGTTGGTATCTCCATTGAAAGCGAGTTGTGTGTTACCTGTGTCTGTGCCGTGGCATTGGAAGCCGTATCGAAGTTATAGTCGTGGTTGTAATAATCCAAGGAAAAAGGAACAGTCTTCTCTGCTCCTTGCATGTCTGAGGTAACCGAAAAGGCGGCCTTTCTTGTACTACATAGGAACATGATACTTCCCGTGAGTGAGCGTAAGACCACGGCGATAATTTAATTGTTCACTCACCAAAATATAATCCAAAGATCTGACGGATGACGGCCCCCATTTATTGTTGTGGTGCCTCTCACGTGGTCATGTAGATCTCGTGGTCTACTGCTTAGTCCTTCTTTATCTTTGTCTCTTGTGGCTATCTTGGGCTGTGCAGTTTTATCCTAGATAATGATCTCAATGACCTCTATTCACCAGGCCAAATATTAGAGAAGGATGCAATGCCATGCCATGCCACCGTGCCCATCATTATGAAGAAAAGCGATGCAATTGTGCTGGGCCCCAAGCCTACCAAAGCATGTGGTAGGTGGACCCGTTATGTTGCATGTAAGCAACACTTGCCAAGATCCTGACAGTGTATAGTCAACTGCCGCAGGTTGAAGGTTAGGCGCTAGTAAGATACCTTCGTCGTGCGAACAATGTGTTGACAGGCTTCAAGATGAAATGCGAGGTCGATGGGACTCCTCCATGTCGTCGATGTCGCCACGCAAACGCCGCTTGTGTATTCAAGCCTAGGTCTAATGTTGGCACTAATTCCGAGAGTGATTTAGGGGTGTATTATGCTTACTGATTTCAGGCTGCCCCTGCCCATGAGATTGTGTCATTAGCGGAGGGTGGACAATGCCCAACTTTCTTGCCTCACTCGGCACAGTCTGATCCAACTGCAGGGTCAGTTCTCAATCGGCTGGACCGAATTGAATCCATTCTAGGGATTCATAAAGGAAGATATGCCGCAGGGGCAATTGGGCCTGATTCGGATCAAGACGAAGAGACCAACGTGCCAAATTCCGAACTCTCGAAAGCTGTCAGACATCTGAGACTCATATCTCGCCCACCACAAGATAGTAGTCTTTGGTCCTACCCCACAGTTAAGGGTCTATGGGAAACGTATGTTGCTTCGTCGCCCTCATTCTTCCGAATGGCGGGAGCTCATAAAAGCATAGATTTCTCAATAATCTACCGCTATTGCACTTTCTAAAAGACCACAGAGCTTTCTCATCCCCTTCGCCACTGTTGCTTGCTTCCGTGCTCTACATATCTGCACTCCATAACCCAATCAAGGAACTCGCATCATTGGCAGGTGAGTATTTTGTAGCCACTTGTGATGCAATCACTGAACTGGTTATCCCAACTCCTCTACCAAATGTCCTCGGCAGATTTAGATCACATCCTGCAGGTCAGAATCATCAAAGCTGTAAAGATGAAGACAAGACGTTCCAGAATATCCTGGGCCTTATAATGGCTAGTCTGGTATCTGAGGCCTACATTGAGACCACTGACAAGTGGATAGCAATTGCTTACCGACTCTTGCTAGACAGTTGCCCAACTGACTTGGATGACTTGTCTCAAGACTGGTGTGGTCTACTTTCTGGTATTCAGGTAAAACTACATGACCTGTGGCGCTTTAGGGGTAATGTTAATTACCTTAGGTGATTGATATCGAGCATGCCTCCATGCACATGTGTCATCCTCTCCTACCTAGGCAACCACCTACTCCAGCTCTCCAACAATTAAACAGCCACGAGGGGGATGCATATCGAGGTCTAACACAGATTATGCACCAGGGACTCAGTCATTTTGTGGGACGGGGCCTACCTACTATATGGTCCTTCGTTAGCTCCACTGGAATCGACACCATAAGTCATGTCCGTACACCCTTCACGGAGGAAGACTCGAGGGTTATCCGACTCTGGGCACGGAGACTTGATGACTGGCTTGTCCGATACAATGGGACATCTCGTAGGCGTAAATTGATTTGGTCTTCAGTGGAATTGTGCTAACGTTGTTATCGAAGAACCCTCTCCATCAGACCGTCAAGGAATACTCATTCTTTTACAATACCACCTTCACAAACTATATGTGCTGTCGATCTATCATCCAGCCCGCGGATTTGACATGAGCTCCACAAACATTACTCCATCAGAAAGGCATGAATTGCTAGTATCAGCACGAACCGTGCTACGACTCCGCCAAGATGATGCTAGTATATGGTCTAACTGGGACCTCATAGTGCGTACACCCGCGCAATATTAGGCCACAAATGAAGACTAAATGATACAGATGATAACATGGGCCGCGATGCTCCTCTTGCGGGGTGTGGAGGATGGTATGATACGCCAAGATGGTATGGAGATATTGTTTTCTCAAGCAAGGCCATTTAACATACTCATCCTTTCTAGATCTGGGTCTTATCCAAACACATATCAACAGCCTAGAGCGAAGCGATCCTTCGGTACCTAGCATTCATAGAGTGCTTGCGGATCGGATTCAGTCCAGCATGCAGAGCATGCACACTCCCCCTGATATGAGCAATGAGCTACCTTTACCACCATCCAACTTGGAGCATTCATGGACAATATTTGATCAAGAGATAATGTCACTCGCAAACCCGTCCTGGCTTTTCGAAGGGCCTTCAGTCGGTTCGACACAGGCTGAGCTCTCGCAGCATCCAACAATGTCATCGGCAAGGTACACCGATGGCCTGACCGCCACCAGCCCCAATAGCTTTGACTCCAACAAACAGTGGGGTTCCACAGAACAGCTGGCTCGTATGCGAATGTCAAGGTTTAATCCAGCATTCGGCCATGGGAAAGCAGCGGGCAATGATCACTATTTGCTATGATTTATTTGTTGGATCTAGTACAACCGTGTTGAGTATAGATCATGAACTATCTTTCTATTGGGAACAGACACCTCTTTGTTGAAGCTACAGGCTACTAGCTTTGATGTAAAAGCATAAGGGTCTAGCACGTTTCATTCCTTTTTGATCGTATCGGGTATAGATATGTCATTTCATCAGTCGTTATACTGTACAAAGCTATATGGCTGCCACATAGCACAAGATGCCACTGCACCTTGCTTTACCTGTACATGAGCTCTGGTGCCAAAGATCCACTTGACTTAGATGCTGGTGTAGTTCCTTACTTTGACTATTAGTTGCTGTCAGGTCAATGATTCGGGGGATCTTCTCTGTTGATTTCTGCTGATTCCGGCTGGTCTTCAGGCTCCAGGCCTTCGCTTGCTGCCGGTGATGTCAGCGGTAGAGGCGGGAATGGTTCCGTCTGTGAAAAATCGCCAGACATTCTTCCAGTGGAGAGTTCACTTTCTCCTGCAGATTCGTGGGGGGTGTTAACAGAAAGTTCAGGGCGGGAAGTCTCCGTAGAGACGGTTGGAGAGGGAAGTACAAGGGGTTGTGGAGTGGACTAGACGTTCGTTTTGTTAGCTTTCGCAGTTATAACGTAGAAGCGGGCGACACTCGCATACCTGGTCTCTCGCTTGACTCAGGCCGCGGCTTGAAGCCAATTGTCGCGCAGCAAGTCGTTTCCTTATGATCTCCAATTCTTCCTGGCGTTCTGCTTGTTCCTCCTCCTTGTGTAGATCAACTATTGAAGGAGCGGTGATATCCTGTGCGACATCAATATAAGAATTTTGAGGAGATCGTAGTCGACTGCTTCGCTTCTTTCGCTTCTTCGACTCTTTCGACGCCAAGCTAAACGAGCCTGATACAGACCTCATACTCGCAGGCTTATCACTGAATTGATCTTCCGACTCCAAACCAGTTCCTCGACGGCTGCCCAACGCCATAGCAAACTCATCATCCAACGGTACTGCATCTTCTTCCTCGTCACTAGGGAACAGATCACCACGCGAACTCAGAGAATTTGCAGTTTCTCGTGACGACTGGGTTGAGCTGCGATACCTTCCGGCCTTGCCATTAGAGCTCGGTCCTTGAATCTCCCCCTCTGCCTCCATCAGAGGCTCATCTTCATGCGCATGCATCCGCAATCCGGTAGGATGCTCTTGAAGGTCAGCCACGGAGGGTTGGTATTTTAAACCTCGGGCCCCGAACCTCCATGGGAATCGTTCCAGGAAACCGAGAAACGATGAGCTTGGAATAACTGTCGGATCATTCCGGTCATCTGGAACCAACACGGTACTTTTTCTCCTTGCCCGCCGCGTGCCATAACTCATCTTCCGTTGTCTGCGGGGCTGTTCAGAACCTCCACGCGTCAACCCACTGCCCGCTAATAAGCGATCTAGCTCATCAGTACCCCACCCCAGTAAACTGTCGTCGGCATCATCGTTGTCCCAATCATCATAGAAGTCAAAAATTGCCTCGGCGCGACCCTTCGCCGACGACGAAGCTGGTCTTCCCGGCTTGGGAGGCAAGGTGAGGTGCATGCGTAAATGCAGTTCCCAATCGTCGCGAAGCATGGTAGGATGTAGTGGTGGGAGAAGGTATACAGCCCTTCTTGAGCCGTCTCGTTTGCAGTTTCAAGGTTATGGGAGATCTGGTTGATAGTCTGGCGGACACGGGGGTCTCTGGGTCGCATCATCTTGGATGGCGGTTGGGGGATGGGGACGTTGATAACCGTCACGCAACGACTTTAGGTGCGGTGTGCACAAGTCACTCCAACGTCACCTAAGACGCCCCATTGAACTATCGAAATAGCCAGTGGGGTATTTTGCTGCCACCGATGCCTGTCGGCAAGCTTCAGAGAAATTCTATTAAAAGTAGGCGAGGTGAGGTGATCCTGGGGTCAAGATGGAGCCTGAGGAACACAACTCCGATCTCCACGATGTCATCACCCTCGCCTTAGTCAGCGGACCACGTGCCTCTTTCAAAGATAGTACACAAGAGTCTAGCCATCGGTTTTCACCCAGATAGTTTCAATCTATATATTTCCCGTCATCATGGTCTATTATATTCGTTTTCTCAAAACCCCAAGGGTCCAGAAGCAGAAAGCGGGGTCCTTGTCTATTTCGGCGCTGATCTGCATCACCACGGACTTGGGAGATGCGTTTCTAGCCCAGGACGTGGATTTAGTCGTATCATTGACTCTCAAGGAGTCAGAAAAGGTTCTACATCAGGAGCCATTGAGTTGGAAAGCTGGCAAACGGGAGCTGGCTATATTATTGGGACCTTTCCATCCACAGCTTTCCCAGCATGCCATTGTTCTAAGTGTCGCTGCAGCTGATCGTGGAAAGCACCATCCGCCTTCTCCAGACAATCTACTAGGAAACCCTGGTGTTCCTCTGGTGATTTCCGGATGGAGTGCACCTTTTGGTGGGTCAGAGTCTTTGGTAGCCGAGAAACTCGTCGAAAGACGCTTTGGGCCGAAAGGTCGCCTAGACCTTAGAATATGGGAAGAAACCGGAAATAGCATTGCCCGTCATATCTGGTGAGGCCTCTCCATTCCGATAGCATACCCGTGGCTCTAAGACTAGAAATTAGGGATGCAGCCATTGCATCGGTGATGTGTCTCCAGCAGTTAGCTGCCGGAGACTCAGCAATCACAGTACCACTACTTTCAAAACTACTACAAGCAGAACGCAATGCTCCTCTTCGTGTCATCGAATTAGGATCAGGATGCGGCATTGTCGGGATAGCATTAGCGCAAATACTTCCCCAATGCTCCGTCCTACTCACAGACCTGCCAGAGGTTGAAGAAATTGTAGCGAAAAACATAGCGGTTGCCAAACCAACGCCATCCTCTAACCTTGAGTATCGAACTTTGGACTGGGACGAAGTGCTCCCAGAAGACCTTTGTAACGGCTCTATCGACCTCGTCCTTGTATCAGACTGTACCTACAATGCCGACAGCTTACCTGCACTAATCTCGGTCCTGGACCGTCTCGTTCAGTCGTCACCGGATGCTATCGTTCTTGTGGCACTGAAAAGACGACATGAGAGTGAGACCGTTTTCTTTGACTTGATGGAGTCATCAGGACTCTCCAACCTGCATCATCATAGTATGCAATTGCCCTCACAACATGACCAGTTTGACCAGATTGAACTGTATTGCTATGGAAACAAGACAAGACATCCAAAGTCCATCGCGACGTGAAAGACCTCCCGGCTCATTAACAATTCTCTTGGCGCAAAATGATATGAGAAGACCTCTTTCACCCTCTCACTTGCAGATACGAAATAACAGTATGTTTCGTATCCTGACTCTGCTTTCTCGTTTCTCTTTGGGTCCTTTCCGCTCTGCTGTAATTGGCCGCAGGGATAATGCGTTCTCGTCATATTATGATACATCTAATGGCTAACCATGGGGTAGTGATCGCTGCTCAGTAACATGCAGCGCTCTTGTAACTGCATATATCTACGTCGAATTTGCGTACATGCACTTGCAGATCGGCCTTCAGTGTTTGGGCGCCCAGGTATAGATTTATCATGGCAAGGAGACATCGTTTACGACAGACGTAAATTACCGTCGATAGTATTCGGACTTCTTTGGAAAGTCATCGTTTTATCAACACAAAAGTCCCATTAGTCTTTCCACAACTACACGTACTTCACAACCTGAGACTAGGACTTAGTTCCATGATACAATAATTTCCCCAAATCTATCCAAGTCGTCAAGCTCCATGGTTATTCAGGTATTTCGATGGCTACCATCAAGACGTTCCAATCAGACACATCAACTTCTCAGTTGGTGAGAAGCTATCCCTTCGCTTTTTACCTAGATAGTGTCGGCCCCTTTCTGACGCCCAGATTTTCGAACTCCGGCTATTAGGCGTATACGACAGTGATCCTTTGCTTTGATCGTGCTTCCAGATACCTGACGCCTTGACATTGTTCCAAATTTTGTGTAAGGAAAAACGACCTTCTGAGCGGACTGGCCGACGCTTCTGGCTCCCTACCCGGGACAGAACTTGCTCAAGGGTAGAGTCTAGAGGGATGAAATCCGAGTCACTGCTTAAGGAAGTGTTTTGAAAGGTATCATAGGCTATACCAGGTAACATGAGGTGATGCTTGTTCCCTTTGAAAATTTGCTTGCTAGCTGTGAGGCTGTGAGAACGAGACGGAGGCATGACGGGCAACCCATTCCCAGGATACATCGACTCATCTGCGTCAGTACGAGCAAGCCAGGAACACCGCCTGGAAAAGGCACTAAAGTTTGCTGCCAATGTCACTGCACAGAGAGGCAGGAAGCCCAGACGGATAGAGTCGTTCGTTATTCCAGGAGATGGTTCACACGAGGGTATGAACGAAGCCTTGACACAGAGAGCCCACAGGTCTGCATATATGCGACAAACAACGTAGACATCACCCTCTACGATCTCGAATTCGTCCGATCGTCGTTCGTGGTCAAGCAAGGTATACGTGGGATCGATGCAAATCACCAGTGACCCCTCTTGTAGAGCCCATCTCTCCCCGGCATCGAGCCGTATGTCCTTCTGGAATTTTAAGCGCGTGCAAAGACCTGGCTTTACTTGGCGATAGGAACACCCTGATGAGGGAATATTCCGCAAAGGCTCGTTTGAAGATAAGGGGCGATCCAGCCAGCTGCTCGCGGTGATTGAAGTTGAGTTGCGCCACTTCGGCTTGTGGCCATCCCAGTCTACCTTTGAATGCAATCAATCAGTATGGCATACGTGTCACGAGTACGATCATGTCACTCACTAGAAGAGGAACACCCGCTGATCCTGACGCGCTAGCATCGATATCAGCAAGGGCATCTGCCGTGGCAGCTGTGACTTTACAGAAGAGTCCGTGGTCATGGCTCATTGACCAAGTGTTAGACCCACGTTCCTTATACAAGGCGTCCAGAGTCTCGCGAAGACTATCACTATCGCAAATGCACTCTTCCCCAGATTTATGACACATCTTGCAGTCTGCAAAAGCCCTAGCCTGGTCCTCCGTCTGAGAGGAACTGGAGACCCAAACCGGAGGCCGATGAAAATAGACGCCATGCCGACGCTTTCGAGTCACAGAGTCCTGCAGGTATTCTTGGTCCGACCAGTCACTCAAATCTGCGAGTAAATCTTCCGAGGAATCTGAACTTGACGTATCCGCGTAGTGCGCACCGACGGGCATTCGGTTCTTGTCCGCCCATGAGGCCGTGTCAGAGCGGGACATGTTTGCGGATGCAGCCATAGTCTATACTAAAATAAGTCACACGGGGAGAAGATATGCAATAAATATGACGCCTGCGCTGTAGTAACTTGTAGTTTGAATGGGTGAAGGCATTAAGCGTGCTTTTTTCATATGGATCTGAAGCAAGGCCATGGCTTGTTCGCAGCTTCCTTTGCATAGAGACAACCACTGGTAGATTTCCAGGAAGGTGCATTCGAATATTACAGTGATTCTTATCAAGAGGTCTAAAGTGCCAACACGGATATCAAGGCTCCTTCCACATTATATATACACCTGAGGACCCCTCAGATCCTTGGACCAAGGACCATCATACCAATTGACACTTGTAACCATGGCAGCAGATGTATACCCCAAAACTATTTAGATCAGCTGCACCAGGCTCATTGACCATTGATCATAGATCAGAGGTCAAGCCTAACGCGACCGATGGAAAGCGTTCCAAATCCGAGCCTCGGCATAAGGAACTGGCAGATCACCCACCAGCCAATGACACGAGGGTATAAAAGTGCGGGGAGCAGCAAGTCGACCGGCAGCTTCAGACGGTTCACTTCATCTCATTCAACCATATCAAGTTTCCAAGGCGTGCTTGAACGCTACCAAATTAGACCCCCATGGCTGCACCCCGGATCACATTATATTTGGATATTGTTAGCCCGTTCGGGTATATCGCATTCCATGTATTGAGAGTATGTGTGCCATTATGACCAGAATATAAACCCCAAGATCCATTTACAAATAAGTTTACATTTGGACGAGCCGGCTGACCCGTTCGAAGAATTCCCCCATCTTCGCTAAATGCAATATCACCTATGTCCCGATCTTCCTGGGAGGATTGATGAACGCCTGCGGCAATACGCCTCCCGTGAATATTAAGAGTGAGAGAGATTCTCTGATACTTTCTACCTGGTCCATACCATGGCTAACATTGCATTTAATCCAGACAAAGATGTCTGGATCGGAAAGGAACGGCTCCGTTGGGCACGATACTTCTCCGTTCCCATGGTTGAGGACACCCCGGAAGGCTTCCCGCCGATGACTTTGGCGACCGAACGCGCGCTCTGTGCCGTCTCGGTGAAGGCGCCGGGGAAGCTTGTCCCGACTATCGAGGCCCTCTATCATTCGTTCTGGGTGCAGGGGAATGCTAAGATCGGACAGGTCGAAGGCTTTACTCCGGTGCTAGAGAGTGTCTTTGGCAAGGATGGGGCCCAGGAAATTCTGCAAGCTGTTCGTGGATTCTCTTTCCTACTTTGCTGGTAGATTGTCAACATGCTAATTCTCAATTCGCAGATGGGCCATGCAGAGGTCAAGGAGCGCTTGAAGGCGAACACCGATCAAGCGTTTAAATCCGGTGCTTTTGGCATTCCATGGTTTGAGTGCACCAATGTCAAGGGCGAGACGGAGGGTTTCTGGGGCATTGATCATCTCGGCCAAGTGGCAGACTTTTTGGGCCTGGATCGCGGTTCGGACAGGGGATTCAAAGCGGTTCTGTAGAGTCGCGTGGAATCGTGGGAGTTCAGGGAGCAATATCTTATCCACATGGGTGTACATTTTACTTCATAGTTTGGTCTTTGTCTTTCAATGAGGTTCTTTTGCAAGATTGGCGTTACTCATAAATGTGACATACAAGCCTCTATCTTCTCTTTGGTAGGCGAGCATCGCTTCTATTCTTTTCTCGGAGGAACTCGGCAATCTTCTCGTTGTCCATGTTATCGATAAGGTCGATCTCGTTCTGACTGGGTGAGGTATCGACTTCTCCAACATGATGTTAGTCTAACAAAGTAATACTGGTAAGGGAATGAACGAACTTACCTTGAGTCTCATCATTTCTTCCGGTAGCCATCGAGCGAACCTGCTCCCACACACTCTGAACCGATTCATCGGAGGCGACAGTCGCGAGCTTGTTTTTAGCCTCGCTAATCGAATTCCCCGCGACACTGGCGATGCTATTCGTAACATCTGAGAGTGAACTCCCCGAAGCCGCTGAAGAATCATTACGCGGCACATCACAGGCTTGTCCTTGAATCGCAGCCGTATTGGCTGTAGTAGTAGACGCAGTACGGTCTACAGCTGTAGGGTTCACAGTTGGCTCCATGACCAAAATCGCATCCACTTAAATCGATAGCTAAAAGTTTATCTTTGATCGACGAGTTCTGCGAAAAGTACACAAGAGGCTATTATGATCTACTTGAACCTCCTCATCGTTCCCGCCGATGACATCAACGGGGAGGAATGATATCATTGTGAGTCCAGCCCTACAAGGCTGGGCCAAGCAGCCCACATGGGTTGCCCGCTTAGGAAACAAATTAACCCACGCCCAAGGCAGCCATATTCTGTTCTTTGTTCTCCATTTGTCCAACCGTGCCGTGGAACAGTGAAGTAATGCACGCGCAATGGGATTGACTTCTCGTCGGCGATAAGTCATTAAGCCGAAGCAGGCGGTGGGGGGTGGCAGAATGGGTGTATATTGTTTTCTTCTTTGTCGGTCTCCGGGGCCGGAGATCGAGTCTTCCTGTTCTATATCCAGGTTTGCTTGAATCTCCCCGGACCACACACTGAACACCATATTAGAATACTTTTGTCAACTGTACAAGATGTGATATAAATATTGGAGAGGGTACCTCTCTGAATGTACCTCATTCAGCTTCAACAGTAATAACAACAAAGCCCACCATTTCAGGCATAAACACCAAACAGAACATCCACCCCAATAGCCACAGTCAGGATGTCTTTCCCATACAAGCACTTCCTCCTCATCGGCGCGACCTCAGGCATTGGCAAAGCAATGGCCGACCGGCTCATCGCAAGCGGCGCCAAAGTAACAGCCGTAGGAAGACGTCAAGATCGACTGGACTCGTTCGTGCGACAACACGGCGAAGACAAAGCGAGTGCGATCGCCTTCGACATCAGCAAGACCGAGCAAGCGACTCAATTCGCCAAAGAAGCGTTCGCCCAGCACCCAGATATCGACTGTGTCTTTCTCAATGCAGGCGTGCAACATCGCCACAATCTGACGAGCCAGGAGACATTCAAGCTGGATGAGTTCCTCAATGAAGTCCATGTCGATTTCACAAGTGTGGTGGCTCTTGCTCATGCTTTCTTGCCGTATCTTACGGCGAAGACGGAGCCTGTTAGCTTCATCTTGTGAGTTTCTTGTCTTTTCTTTCATGTGATTGTGTCTATATATATAGTGGGCGTGTAATACGAACAGGGCTGATTTAAATATCTACAGTACCGGGACAAACCTCGCGATTGTCCCTGCTTGCCCCATGCCGGCTTATTCGGCCGCGAAAGCAGCGCTGAATGCATTCGTTCTTTGTTTCAGGGAGCAGCTCAAGTCGACCAATGTCAAGGTGATCGAGTTGTCTCCGCCCGCTGTGCAGAGTCAGTTCCAGTCATTGCTTCTTTTCTCCTTCTGGACTAACTTGGTCATAGGTGAGCTCCACGATTACATGACACCAGAAGTCGGGCGGAAGGTCGGTATGCCGTTGGATCAGTTCATCGATGAGGCATTCGCGGGATTTCAGGCTGGTAAGGATCAGGTGGTGGTTGGCAGTGTTGCCGATGAGAAGACGTTCTACGAGGTTCTCAACAAGCGACGGGCGTTGTTTGAGACTTTGTCGAAGCTCTTGGGCTCAGTATAGAATGTTGATATAGTAAACCGACCGGCCTACCGAGTATATGCAATGGAGAAAAGAGAGCTTGGACTCTAGGCCTACCTAGTAACGCTGTGTGGGTTGGGATCTAACATTAATTTAACGCTTATACTATAACTAGACCGCATGGTTGCTCTGGGGTGCTATATGGAAACCTTGTAAGATGACCAGATGCATAGTGAATTAATGTTTGGATTCATATTGTTGGAACAAATCGAATATTTATCTCATTCAAAAAACCAAGCCTGGTGGCTAGTAATGCCAATCAGTCAAAGCAAGAGTATCCATATGTTAGGGCTTTTACCAATCGGGAATAGCGGCGCCCGCGGCATTGCCCCTCCGCCCGCTTTTTATCGGAATCAATCCATTCTTCCCGATCGACCCATATATTGGCTGCTTTCTGTCCACAGTCTTTACGGCGGATGTTATAGATCTATAGACTTGTTTTTTCGCATCGCATATACATACCCACCTGAAAAAAATAGATCCATAGACAAGAACCCCGACGATTCCAACCGACCCATACGGTATATAAAGCGAAAATGTCACCGATCCCTATCACTATCGTGACCGGCTTCCTGGGCTCCGGAAAAACTACCCTCCTCCTGAACCTCATCCCACAACTCCCGCAGAACTACCGTCTGGCGCTTTTGAAGAATGAATTCGGCGACGTGGCGATCGACTCCCAGCTCGCCTCGACACAATCCATCTCCGGGGTCCGCGAACTCCTGAACGGGTGCATCTGCTGCAACCTCGTCGGCCAGCTCAGCGATGCGCTGAACCAGCTCCGCGAGGAGGTCAAGCCGGATCGCATCGTGATCGAGACCAGCGGGAGCGCGTTCCCCGCGACGTTGGCGATGGAGGTGAACCGGCTGGAGCGCGAACAGCCGGGCAGCTTTGTGCTGGACGGGGTGATCAGTGTGATCGACGTCGAGAACTGGGAGGGCTACGAGGATACATCGTATACGGCGAAGTTGCAGGCGAAGTACACGGATTTGATCATTTTCAACAAGTGGGAGAAGGTGTCGGAGAGACGGTTCGATGTTTGCCTGGACCGCGTGGGAGATCTGGAGGTGCAGACTCCGTACGTGAAGTCGGACAAGGGGAGGGTGGACAAGGATGTGTTGCTGGGGATTGATGGGGCTTTGTTTGCGAAGGATGATGGCGCTGGACTTACCGACGGGCATCATCATGATCATGATCATAAGCATGGTCATGGACATAAGCATGGTCATCAGTCCGAGGTTGAGGTGCTGTCGGTCACATTGAAGTCCGCCCAGCCTGAGCAGACCGTTGACGTGTCTGCCCTGGAGCAGTTGCTGCTCTCTGCACCCAAGGATGAAGTCTACCGGATCAAAGGTATCATGCGTTGCTCCACACAGTCGCCTCCGGCTGAATCGTCGGATGCCCTGGCCGAACCCAGACCCGCTGCGTCCCAGGACGGAACGACTAGACATTATATCCTCAACTGGGCCTTTGGTCGTTGGACCTTCACGCCCTCCGAAGTTGTTGCAGAAACGGCTGACCCAGGTGAGGCCGCTCGCATTACATTCATTTTAGCCCGGTACGAGTCTGGAAAGTGGAAGAAGAAGCTGGAGACCGGTGGCTTGGTCCAAATCGGAGAGGGAAATGAAGGAGGCGAGCTGGTTGTTGAGCGACTGGTCTAGACGACTGTAGTGGCTTCCTCTCTTTTTATTTTTGAAGTGGAGCTGGCTTCCGCGATGTTGACGACTGTCATTGAACATAATGGTATGGAATTGGGATGAGTGATGTACATGTATCTGGGGGTGATCATGAACGGGCATCATAGATAGGCCACAAGTTACGAACAGACAAGAGATAGATATCTATATGGATAAAATAGACACGAAATGATGCGCGCTTCGTCTTTATCCAAGGCATTGATGAACCACCAAATCTATGCAGATCCAAGAGCTAGAAGGAAGGGCAGAGGGTCTATCCACTATAAAAAACTCAATTCAAATCCCGAAATCTACTTCGTCAAACACAATATAAACCAAAACTGTAAAATAAGGACAACGCAAACAAGTTTTCAAGAAACAGCTCTGCACTGTCCTCCACACTAACAACCCATAACAAAACTGGTGTAGGTACAGAGCCAAAAAAACATATAAAGGACTAGTACTCGAGGAGAGCAGAAGCACCGGCTTCGCTCGAGATGTAGATCACCTCGTGATTGTCGGAGAAGCCGTTGAAACGGGTGGCGCTACACTTGGTATACGCCCCCATCTCCTCGAAGAAAAGCCAGTCACCGACATCCAACAGACCAGGCAAGGTGATCCGTTGGCTGATAACGTCGATGCCATCACAGGTGGGCCCCCAGATCGAGTAGGCGATGCCAGCCGAAGTCGCAGCATTCGAGGCATTCGCACAAGTCAGAATCTGGGCCACCGGATGCTGGTGGTCAAAGATGATATTGGAGAAGTTTCCGTAGACCCCATCGTTCAGATAGATCATGTATGCATCGTTGGCCGGGTCCTCAGGGTCTCGCACGTCGCGACGGGCGATCACGTTGGCAGCCAGGGTGAAGGCGGTCGCCACGTAGTAGCGGCCAGGCTCCGCGATGATACGGATATGAGGCGGGAAATACGTATCCAATGCCTCACTCAGGACACCAGCAAACTTTTCAAAAGTGTCCCCGCTGAAGCCGCCACCGACATCCAAGGTGTGCAGTTCGTGACCAATTTCAGCAGCCTGGTCAAATATCATCCGGGCATCCTGGACCGCTTTGATAAAAGCCGTCGGGTCTTCCGCGCCCGAGCCGACGTGGAAACTAACGCCAACGACCTTCAGCTCGAGCTGGTGAGCCAATTCCAGAAGTTGCTGGGCGACGTCCAAAGACGCACCGAACTTCATGCTCAGGCGGCACAAGCTGGTGGAGTCATCGGTCAGGATGCGCAGATAGAGCTCTGCATCGGGGAAGCAGGCCTTAATCTTGTACAACTCGTCGGCATTGTCGAAGGTCATCTGCTTCACGCCCATCTGAGCGGCGTAACGCAGGTAAGACTTGGTCTTGCAGGGCTGCGCGTAGATGATGCGGCTGGGGTCAATGCCCGTGTCAAGAGCCATATCGATCTCGGCCTTCGATGCACAGTCGAAGCCGTTGCCAAGCTTGGCCATCAGGCGAAGAACCTCCGGGTCCGGGTTGCACTTGACCGCTACGACGCGTGTTAGCCTTGCACGTTCAAACTCCAAACGCGTGCAAACCTACCATAGAAAGGCCTGACGCGGCTCAAGTTCATTTTCCAGCGTAGATGCTGTCGGTAAACCTCGCCCATGTCCGCCACATAGAACGCATCCTCGTCTCCAGGGGCGCAACGGTCGGTGTTGACCTCGTCGGCGCGCTTCTTCAAAACGTCCATGACGAGATCCTTGGCCGCCAACCTGGATTGCGAGAGGTCGTCCCCTCCATTATTGCTGATTTGACTTAAATTATGAATATAATCCAAGTCGGATTTGTCTTGACTATGTTTAGTCATGCATATCTCAGCAGGGATACACGCAGTCGGTGCCATAACCATGTGCGCTGCGACGATGCACAAAGGTGAAAAAGAAGATGATTAAAAAAAACGGTGAGTTACGCGACTGCGTGTTAAGGAGGGCGAAAACTTTCGCAACCGTAGTTGACTGGACCAAGCCTCCTAGACCCTTCCCCCTCAAGAGGAAGAACCTTCAGAGAAGTCCTATGCGGCAGCTCAGAGGGCGAGGGGATGAATTGGGAGGGCGTCAACGGGTTAATAAATGGCGCGCCGGACGAGAACACACGGGGAGAAACCAGTAGGAGGTGGAATGTTGTTAAGAGTGCCGCGGGGACGTCGAGGATAGACAATTTGACGGAAACGTACGAACGAGGCTCCGGGAGCCGTGGTGAGCTAGAGCCTTTGGAACTGAGGTGATTCCAAAGGCCAGTCGTGGGTGCGACGGAAAGTCAGGTAATAGGCGGAACAGAGTCGGCCTAGAAAATGGGGACCTGATGTAACAGGACCAGAACCAGCGGTCAGCAAGTTTGGAAATGAAGCTCTGACCCTCAACCTGAGTGAGAGATTTAATGACGCGGGGAGAGGAAAAGGGGAAGAAGTCCGTAGGGTGCAGAGTTTTTTCTTGCTTGACGACCGGGGCGTTCGGTGGAAGCGCACTTAGGGCAAAGGGCTCACACCGTCAGGCAGAAATCGGCCGCGGGGAGGGGTAGGGAATTGTTCCAGATCAGGACGAGACTGAGCGTCGGCAAGGATGATCACGGTATCCTCGAAGGGGGAAAAAATACTCACCTGAAAGGACAATTGGGGAATGATGGGGGAGCGATGGAGGACGAGAGTCGAACAAAAACGAGAGGCTTTTTTTTATTCGGTCGCCCAAGCTGAAGAAGGATTGATGACTGATGATTGAGTCAAGGCTGGTTCTCGTGGGGGTGCTTACGGCATCTCCCGAACAAACCTGAACCGTATCCATACCGTCCCGTCAGTTTACCACCGGTGGCCACCGCGGCGTCACATCCTGTATCATGCTTGGTCCATCCATGTCGGTTCCTGTTGTTCCAGCTTCGCCCCTGCAGGTCTCGACGGCCCTTGATCCTCCCGGTTGGTGGGATTTGCCTGGATCCATGGGCATCCCCTCCCAAAAATTCAAATTCAAAATAAAATAAGATGAAATAAATAGAAGACGATCTAACCTTCGACCGGATGTTCTGATCACAGATTGTGGAATATATCCCTCATTGCCAATCACAGAGCTGCTGAGCATCAGGTCCGAGTCCGGATTTTAGGCAGACCATCATGGATCCGGGCTGTTTCTCTCATTTTCTGTCTTCATTTGAGTTTCCGTAGACGCTGGGTCAGGAATCGATGCATATCATGCAGCACGTAATGAACTTTATCACGAGAGGTAACCCCTTTCATCCAGGCCTGCATCTGATATCTTGCCTGCGCCTCGGGTATAAAAACGGTTCCGTGTTGTTATAGATTATATTCCGTGCTCAATCATTGGTTGATCTGGTGGTCCCTCTGAAATGTATTACGGACAGGTCAGTCGGAGTTCGAGTACGGAGTCGGTACGAGCTACTGTATTGCACCCCGGAGCTCCTCACGGGAGCTCCATCGGCGAATCCACCCGGAGGGGCACGTCGGCGGTCACGTGCCCTGTAGTCCCTTCGATCAGTCAATCTCCATGACGACTTGTTCAACCACTATCAGTAGAATAGACCTCGACTAGTCTCCACGACCGTCATCCTTGAAGTAACATTGACCATTTGTCCTTCCTTATATGGCATATCCAACTTTTGAGATCACTGAAAGTGTGAAAATGGGAGGTTGTATTCTATCAGCTTTTTCCATTTCCAGATGGTGCAAATTACTTTAGGGCAGATGTCATGGCGAGGCTACCACCGCAACCCCTCCAGTCTTTTTTCTTGTACTTTTTCTGTTCAGCTTAAGTGTGATCAGGTGTGTACGACAGATGATCTCATTTCTTGGAAGAATAGAATCAGAGGTTTTCCGTGCGTAGTATCTACTAGTCCATACGGGTAGCGCTAGGAGAGTGCTTGGTGTGGTACTTGTAGACTATAGTGGGAGGGGAGAGCTGGTAATCCTACTTTTGAAAGCAACCCCCCTTGAGTCGGAGTAGAGGGAACCGCCGTACCTCCTCCGATGCTCATGTTTGTCTCAAATTAAATGAAGAATTCAAATATTCCTCTAAGCCTTATAACGAGAACACCACTTTCCACAACACTATTGGCCTCAACCTATCATAATATTGCTGCATCGGTGGGGTCCCCTCTAACACGGACCTATTCTTAGAACAAGCCGATGCCACTTGTTTGACAGTCGATGGAGTGCATCTTTTTCTTCTGTGGTAGACCGGTGTTTTATTGAAGGTAAGAGAGAGAGAGAGAGAGAGAGAGAGAGAGAACGAGTATATCTGGAGAACTTAGAAGCCATGTGCGGTCAAGTTGGCAAGATATAAATATTTAACGAGGGCAATTATACGTCGTTGATAAGTTAGCTCCCTGCCACTGCATTGCATAACAGTGCCGCCAGCCACCCGCAAATTCTATTTTACATTCATATAAATCTCTAATCATACAGAGATTACCAGCTATCCATATATCCATTGATGGTATCAATTTGCCCTCATCAAAAGAAGGCACGAAAGGGCTACCCACAAGCAACGGTTATCAAGACAGCGGAAAACAAAGTAAGAAAAACTGCCATGTGATTGAAAATGACAAAAAGTAGTCTCAGTAGCCAAACAACGATGGATTCCTAATTTCCCTGTACCTCTGCTTGGATTGTTCTGCACTAGCTTTCACAGACCCTGCTCTCAAGGCCTTTCCGGGCATGTACAGGTGGGCGCTGGATTTTTACTGGCTTCGAAGACATATATATCCTCGGCTGTTGCTCCTGCTCTTCGTCGGGTTCAAAGTATTCGCTATTCACGTCTTCACACTCCGCACCGGAATTGTAGAATGGCCAGCGTACCTTCGCCGCCTCTTGGCCAGCTACACTCTGTCTTTCGGCATTGATCGGCCCTTGGGGGAATGCAAATGTCTCGGTTGAGCTCACGGACTCCACTGATGTCTCTGACGACACAGACTTATCAGGTTGATTTTGCTTTTTTCTTGTCCCATTGCACAGTATCAGCGAAAATACCTTGCCACAGGACACCATCATGACAGTGACTGTTCGAAAAGATGTAGATGGTACTACTTGAAGCTGATATACCAAGACAGTAGTGCACCCTGTTGAGTAGCACGGTAGTGATGTGCCATAGCCAAGCTATATATCTTAGCAGAACCAACGTATAGACATGATACAAATATCAAATGATCTATTGAATCTCATGGTGAGGGTTGAGTCGTCGTCTCAGATCTATGAAAGGCCTTTGACAAGGAAAATGGTTCTTTAGTATTGACATAAAATGATCTATTCGGGTGATCTTGAACGAATGTTTCGGAGTGGCTTTATTGTCTATGTGATAGTGCCTTGCAAGTATGAAAGCGATGCGGGTGATACCATCTCGGCATTGCTTTTGTACTAGATTTCGGTCTTTGTCGAGACAGAAAATGAACAATTCGGGATTTGGCTCCAGATGGTTTTACATCTGTCGAAACCAGACAATTTATTGAAGTGAAAGACTGTTGTTGCCTTGTTACCGCCGATCAAGAAATGAGACCATCAATACACAGGATGGGAGCATATTCTATGAATACCTGCCAGGGGTTTACTTATAACAGTCGTTGAATTAAACAAAGTAAATATATACTAAAAGATGCCGTGAGAAAGGAACAACGTGTATCAGGTATCACTTGCAGTCACAACGAGCAAAGCAGTCTTAAGAAAAGGGGTATATAGAGATGGCTTGAAAAAATGAAGATAGGAAGATAAAAAGAAAAAGAAAAATCCTCAAACCAGTACGAAGACCCATCACAGCCAGAGTACCCATCTAACGCCAGAGATTGCTCCTCGGAAAACACCCCGTAACAGTTTGAAAGCCATGACGATCAACCATACCCACCACAACATTCCAACAAGGGCCCATTCGAGCATCACAAATCCGGTACGTCGTATCCAGCGTAGCCGGCGATGGCGCCTCCGAATGCCTTTGTCGAGGGTGTCGCTGAGCTGTTTCACTGCTAGGGTGCTGGTAGTATTGAGCTGAACGCTCAAATCTTCTGCATCTTGTGCGGCAGCCCGCACACGTGGGTTGAGAGAATTGTTGACTAGATCTTCAAGTGCGCCAAGTTGACAACTCAGAGCTGACAATTTATCACCAGGATAACCATCCATCGATCGCTGGAAGAGCTCCTCTGAGTTCTCAAACCTCTTCACCAAGGCTTGAATGGCGAGATCGAACTCATGCGACCGAGGCACCTCCGGAACTGGCGTGTCAGGGCCAATTGCGCGTCGAAGAAACTCAGGCGGAGGACTCCGTACAGTATGAGCGCGACGAGTGATCTCTCGCGCCTTGATACCTGAAGAGAGAAGGAGCGCACGGGTACGTTCGACTTCTCTTTTTGCCGGGACTCCGGATTCCATCGAGGTAGAAACACTGCGCTCAGAGATACTCCAGCTTCTGGATTGGCTGGAGGGCGTGGAGCGACTTTCATGAGAGGACGGTTCATGTGATGCCTTTGCTTGTGCAAGGCCTGTGATCGGGGGCCGAGTGAGACTGTATGGCACAGACGGATCCTTAATTCGGCCTTTCTTGATCTGTTCTCGGATGGTATGTAGCTCAGGGCCAAAAGTCGCAACCTTCCCGGGTTTCTTGCGGACATCGCGCCTCTTCTGCGGAGATGGCGATAGAGCCTCGTCTCGTCCAGTCTCTCTCGCGCTCTTCATCTCTGACTCTGAAGAAGTCTTTTGGGGACTGCCCAAATCAGATCTTCTATGGCCCTCGGATTGATCGCTCTGGCGGGAGGGAGAAGTAAAGGGCAATGGCGCGGATAGGTAATCTTTCCCAGCTGCTTTTTCTGGCTCCCTACGAGCCGCCAGAATGTAGTCCTCAGAAAAGGTGGGGAGGCGGCGTAGTTGTGCCTTGGTATTAGTGGTCTTATCACCTTTCGATTCTTCAACATCGGTTAGGGCAATCTCATCGTCAGATGTGACGTGTGATTCAAAAGAAGATTGTCGCGAATGGGCCAAGGAGTCTTTCTTTAGAATGAGACCACCCATTTTTGACACTTCATTACCAACCTTTTCGGCGATCTTACCAGGGCCTTTGAAAATTCCACGAAGTTTGGACTCATGTTGTGCGAGCCCTTTCCGTGCTTGCTGGCTCGACTTTATCCGGCCATCCTGATGCGTAGAGGGAGTTTGATCTGGAAGTGGGCTCGGGTCCAGTCTGCCAGCGTGAGGCAAACCCTCTGAGTATTCCGATAAACTGTTGCTACGTAATACCTCTGATTCTAGGGAGCTATTGTCCACAGCATCTTTAGCTCGCGAGTTACTCTTGCTTCTCTCCCGGCGGGCAATAATCGCACGGGGGAACCGTCCTTTCGACGGGGATGGTGACCGGCTTGATGGGGGCGATAAGTTTGATGCAATACTCGGAAAGAAAGTGGATTGGATAGGAGTAAGCGGCACCCTTCCATCGGCTGTCACAGAGTATGTCAGACGGTCATAGCGGTCATCCACACTTGGCGCTGAGGATATAGACTCCCTCTGTTCTTGGGATTTAGTACGGTCAGAAGCTTTCCAAGATCGTTGGAGATTAGACCTCTGTGGCGACATAGCTTTCATATCTAGAGAGCTCTCCTCATCTGGTGGGGCAATATATCCTGTTGTTCTTGATGGTTCGGGCCGTAGGGAAGTAGACCTCCTAGGGGATACCACGCTCTCTCCCTGGTATTTCCAATATTGCTTGTCACCCCGGCTTGACGCACTCGAAGAGCTGCTTGAACGCTTCGTAATTTGTGTCCTCCACCACTGCTGCGAACGATATGAGAGGGGCCTTGAAATCTATGCCGCCGTCTCCCCCGTCCAATCCGTTTGAACTCAGGTGTCAGTCCAGGGTGGGCGTCCGATAAAGAAGTGCGTGAGGTCGGCTGGTCTGTGTCTACTGACTCCCGCCTGGATGGGAGCTCTTCTTGAATGTTCCTGGTTTTGGTTTTGAGGGCATCGGATGGAATCAACATTGCGGGATCGGGGTATAGATTATTTCCATCTTTATCGATAAGCTTGCTTTTATTTTGTATATCTTCAACCCATGCGATATCAGCCAAAAGTTCTGGCGGTGAGATCATCCAATCAGATTTTGGTCTGCGAGCCTTGACGCTGCTTGCACGGCTGGTTCGCCTCAGACTGGAGGAAGGAGAGGCTCCTATAATCTCATCACCCTCCGGCTCTTTATGTGAGAGGTCTTTCGAGCCTTGGTGGAAAGGTGGGAGCTTCAAGCATTCAAAAGAGCTACGGTCTTCTTGATTGAACTGGCTCTCGATCGAGTCAACCCACTCATGAACTTTTCCGACATTGGTCCAGCCTTCTGCATCCGTATCAATGGGACATCGCTCGCGGAATCTAACTTTGCGGTTTCGGATTGATTGAAGAGGGTTGTACGAGCGACCTGGAGGGGTGTCGCCAGTACCCGCTGGAGTGGAATCTGGGTCTGTGTGTGCCTCGTGCGGTTTAAGGGGAGAAAGCGAAGGAAGCAATCGGAGATATTCGGAGAAGAGCTCGAAATGGCGCCGGGCCTTATCAGCTCGAGCAAGCGTGCCGTCTGAGAATACGTGTGGTAGGGAGTTTGAATTGACGGAATCGGGCAGCAGGTTCAAGACCGAAGATGGTGCATGTACGGCTTGATCCACATGTGAGGCCCCCGAAAGCTTCGAGTGATCATCGACGGTCATCTGAGTAAAGCCGCTGCGTGGATAAGGGCTATCATTTTGACTGCCCAGTGTAATAGGTGCACCCTTTCCACTCGATGAAACGGAAGGTTGACCTGCCGACGCGGTCCACCTTCCCCCTGCAACGCGGCCAGAAGGCACTCGACCATGGGCACTTACTCTTCTGGATTCGCTCAAGTTCAATGCTAGATTGACGATCTGTAATGAGTCCCTATCAAGCCCTAGGGGAGTCTCGCTTCCCACTTCCGTGGTTTGGGACGGATGCGGTTCTGCATCTTGTTGCGAATGTGACGGACCAGGGGTTTCTTGAGAAGCTTCTCTCCCCGGGGGCGCTGCTGAAGATTCCTTCGTTGACTCTTTTTGGCGGCTCCAAGGGAATCGCGACCGCTTCTTGGGTACCACAATCTCCGAATCGGGGGGTGTTCCACGCTTCTCCTTTCGCTCCGATTCCGAGTGATGGGCGCGATGATAACTATGCCTGAGACTACTTGATCTGGGCAAGAATGAAGAGTCCAGTAAGAAACCTCCTGAGCTGTGTGTTCGTCGAGATCCTCGGCCTCCCTTATCCCCGTCGCGGGAGCTGCTCCCGAGTGTGCTGCCTTCCAGCTCCCCACTGTCTCGTCCTTCGCTCATTCGCAAACTCCTTCGCCGATCAGGTTTGTCGTTGGATTCAAGTCGACGAGAAGAGCGCCACGAGCTAGATCTAAGCGGTTTCTCGTCCACTTTGGGGAGAGGATTTGGTGGCGTGGGCGATGCATCGGTCCTCTGCGACATCAGAGCCAAAGCGGAGTGTTGTTCGGTCCCGGCCGATAGAAAAGGGGTATGTGACGGTGATCGAGGGACTCATGAGGACCATCAAGGTCAATATCGATGGTCTATCATATTCTATGGGAGGAAATCTGGCGACACGATGAAGTTGAAATATTTGAAGGCCCCTTTCATAGTCGAGGTAAATAGTGACGATCACTTTTAAGTAAGTTGTACGGTATTGTACAGGATATACCCCATACCTTTCCCGGCCGTGACGACGGATTCCTGTAACGGGTATAGTGCGTGCACTGCGATAAGTGCCTCAGGCAGCTAGCTCGTTTTCCATGCTCTGGATCTCACTGCACTTGGCAGTATTACCTAGATTCGATTCCTCTTTGCAATACTTTCGAGCATGGCTAAACGCTAGTCATATGGAAGTTGCTTCATATTTCTCTCACACGTTCTTCCTGCCACAGGACACTTATAAAAGAGTGCAACCAGGAATCTCTAGTTCTATTCAATTATGCTGTTGGGGAGGAGGCATGGTGGAATATCATGGATTCAGGGTAGAGTAGCACCCATTACTACCCACGCATGCCCTCTTCACTCGCCAATATTACTACTCTATAGTAGTCTCAACATGTCTGACATGCAGATAGAAACCTGACAAACATCGTTGCGTACAATCCTGTAGACAATATAGTAAGGAGACAACGGGAAGGTTCTAGCATTGAGGTCTAACGACGCAAGAGAACAACTAGAGGTACAGGTGCTGTGGGTAGGAGGCAAAGAAAAATTACAGGAAACAAGGAATTGATGTTCTTTATTGATCTATTCGACTCTCAAGCACTGAAGACGAGCCTCAGTCTCAATAACCTGTAAAACCAATGAGTTAGCTTGGAATAGTTAGGGGAGCGACTTTGTGTTTAGGAACCATACCTCCAGAGCTTGCTTCACTTCCAGGACTCTGCGCACATCTCCGAGCCAATCCTTGCTCAAAATCTTGGCCCACCCCTTCAAGCTGTTCATCTCACGTGCAGCGGCATCAAGGTCGCCCTCTTCCAAGAGGCTTTCGGTCCGAACAAGGACACTCTCAACATCATCGCTGTGGGCGACAGGGTCCTTCTTGAACATGACCTTGCTCAAGACGAGGCTGGCAGCGTGGCTAGCAATGCCCGCATCCTCAGGCAGAAGGCTTGCCTTGCGAACCTCATCGGCGACGCGGCGGAAACGTTCAATGATCTGAGACTTAGAGGGAATACCACGCTGATATGCTGTAGGGTTGATAGATGCAATGGCAGCTTCAACCACAGGATCATCGGCAGCCAGTTCCTTCACAGCAACGAGCTCTCGAACAAACGGACGGGGGGCAGAAGAGCGCTCAAGGACGGAGCGGACTGCATCCACGGCGACTTGAAGCTGCTGGGTCTTCAGGTTGGTATCAATCACATCCTTCCAACTGCTAGTAAGCTTTTCCAGCTCGCTAACGTTGGCGGTCAGTTCGTTAAGCTTGCTAAGACGGCCCTCACGCTCTCGCTCGACGAGATCCTTCACCTCGTGGAGGTACTTCCGATTGAGTTCAATGGCTTGTTCAACCAATTCATTCTGGAGGCGCTGTTCAGCAACTTCTTGAGCTCTCTGAAGCTCCGTCTGGATCTTCTCTTGATAAGCAAAAGCCAATTTCTCCCGCTCCGACTCAAACTCTTCCCGGAATTGAGCAGAATCAGCCGCGCGCGACTCCTCAAATCGGCGAATAAGCTCGCGAGCAGACTCGTCGAAGGTGGCATGGGCTTTGGTGATCTCCTCCTGCGCTGCGCGACGGGCTTCTTCTCTGACTGCGATAATCTTCTCCCCAATCTTCTGGAGCTCTTCCTTGGCTTTGGCGACAGGCGTAGAGTACTTGCCAGAGTTCTCATCGGCACTAATAACAGTGATAATGTCGTTGAAAGTCTTCACTAACTCTTGCACAATGGCTTCATCTCCCTCATTGACCTGAGCGAATTCCAAGGTTGTCACGGCAGGCAGTGCTGGTTGTCTAGGTTCCTCAGCTTTCTTATCACTGCTCTTGGGTGCCTGGTCCTTGGCAGCTTTGTCACTCTTAGCCTTCTCAACGGCGGCGGTCTTATGTTCAGGCTTAGCACTCTCGGTTTTGATTTGGGCTTCTTCAGCCTTGACAGCACTCATATGGGGGCCTTTTTGGGAAACATCGCTTCCAGAGCCTTGCTCCTCTGCAGCCTTCGAGGTAAGACCACTCTCTCTTGGGATTGTAACCTTCTTACTCTCATCCGTGTGTCCAGAGATGCGGGCGTGGCCCTTCAGAGTGTTCGGGAAACGACGATAGAAGTCACGTTCCTCGAAGTAAAGAACAGCCTCTTCACCATATGGGATGTATTCCGTGAAGAAGTCGTGGAAGTTGTCAGACTTCAAGGCAAGGAAGACACCTCCACCGTAGGCGAAACCAGATGTGAGAATCAGGTAGAGAAGGAATCTTCGGAAACGTCCCGTTTTACGAACCGGGGCGGGTGGGGGCGGTGGAGGAGTCTGAGAATCTGCGCATACTTTAGCATCGGAGGAGTCGATATATTCAATTGACGATAGGAATCGAACCTTGCTCACTAGGCGATGACTTAGGAACAGTCTCGGGGGGGATGGGTGTTTCGGATGATGGGGAGACAGGGGTAGGGGCGCCGGTAGGAGGCTTAGCATCGGCAAAGAATCTCTGTATGGATAAAAAAAATGCAAGTCAGTTGGTGTCGTAAAAGGCAAGAAGGCACATGGCATCGTCATACCTGACCAGAGAGCCGGCTACTTGCCCCAGCTCTAGACAACCATTGCGAGGCCGTCCGTTGGCGAACGGAAGACAACAGCAGCTGCCGACCCGGTGCAACAGAAGAGCGCAGCATGACGAGCCGCACTACTGTGAAGTAAACGCTGAAGGCGGGTTTTGTTGAAGGGGTGATGTTGGCGAGAGTGAAAACGCGGACCGGAATTGGGATGATGCTTTTACGAACCGCTCCGATCGTGCACCGCCGCAGAACCTGTGGCTGGTGACCTCGGGAATCTTCGCACCGCCCACAGGAGTTGCCCGCGGCAGAATGTTCTCCAACTACTCCATATAAAGACCTACTTCGTGCTTCAACCTGCTACGTAACGATTGATATGAAGAAAAAGGATGGCACATGGTTATGAACTTCCCATAAAGAATTTAAAGAGAAAGTTATTATATAGGAATAGCATACGGACGATTTCACGACGACCGGAATAAGGGGAAGAGATGTAGCATGAATTCAGCCCAACAGGAAGACATGGATACAGACGCCGGGAACATTAAAGCTGAAACAAATAATAAAGGAAAAAGCACAAAGCGCAGGCACAGTCCTGCTGCATAATGTCTAGAAAGCCAGATCCAACTAGACCCTTCACGATATCCGACTTCTCACTTAGTAGCTACACAGTCGAATATCAAGGCCGAAAAAAGTGAAAGAGAAATGGTGACATAGATCAGGGAAGCCATCGTGTTCGGCCACTCAACGACGACTGAAATCTCACAAAATTCCAGTGGGCCATATCCATGATCATCATGACACCGATAGAGAATTAGGCATTCTGGCTAAAGTTTGGTGGTGATCCATAGAGTCACCCGGCGTGGCGACTCATAGTTAACCTTGAAGACGTGCACCTTCCGTATCTAAAAATAATTGAAAAGACGGGTGGGGAAAGAATGCGAATATGAGATACAGCGAGACAAGGGTGATAGCTTGCGATTAAATTTAGCATTGGCAGGAGTTGGCGCCCTGGGTGCCAGGGGCCTCTGGGCGCAAGTCCACACCCGGACGGGGGTTTGTGCGCAAGTTTCGAGGTCCGGCTTGATCGAGAGGAAGTTTCTTCGCAATTGCTGTAAAAAGTTCCCGTACGTTTGAGGAAGTCTTCGCTGATGTCTCGAAGAAAAGCAAACCAGCCTCACGTGCATAGGCCTCGGCATCTGCGGTTGGGATAGCCCTCTTGTCTGGGTTTTCTGTGACAAGGTCGAGCTTATTACCCGCAAGGGCGATGACAATGTTTTCGTTGGCTTGACGTTGTAGCTCTTTCACCCACGACTTGGCCTTATCCAGCGACGACTATACGACGATTGCTACGTTAGTATTTCGTGGGTTCAAATAACAAAAACTGAGACTCATGACCGGGGTCGTACAGCTTGTGTGATATCATAAACAACCACTGCGCAGTTGGCGTTTCTGTAGTACATCGGAGCTAGCGATTTGTATCTCTCCTGGCCAGCGGTATCCCATATTTCGAACTTGACCGTCGTGCTTTCGTCCAGGGAAATGGTTTGTGTTAAGAAAGCAGCGCCGATTGTCGACTCCCGGTAGTCATCGAATTGATCCTATAACAAGTAAGCGACATCGCAACCCCAAACTAAGACCGGATATCTAGGATATCAGAATGGACTCATCAGCTCTAGACCTACCTTGACAAATCTCAATACTAGCGAACTCTGTAATGAAAGACGTCAGCGACCGTCAAGATAGTGGAAGCGAATAGGCTAACCTTTCCAACAGCAGATTCTCCTGTAAAGTGGGGGAGACGTTGTGTCAGTTACTCTATAACTTATAATGTAGCAGGAGGGTAATTATTGAAATGGCTAACCAAGCAAGACAAGTTTGAACTGAGCGAATCTGGCACCAGGACGGGCGCCTGCTGCGGCTCTGGAGGCCATGATTTCTATGGTCGGAAGAGCAAGGTTTTATGTAGAGCGCCGGGAAGTAGAAATCGCACAGAGGTGGATCGTGAGAACAAAAAGCGCTAGAGGTGGGAAGATTTCTTTAGACTGGGGAGGTGGACTGAAGACGGGATCGGATACTGGGAGGAGGTTTAATGGCGGCCTGGGCTGGTAAAGGTAAGGTAGATGACGAAGGGATTCAGCCACACCTGGCCCAAGCCGACTGGCCGTTCTGCGGGGCGGTGTGGCGGCTTGGCTTGACCTCTGCTGGCGGCAATTGGCAGGTATTATTATCACCACATGCTGCGTTCAGAGTGACAAGACACAACACCCTAGGCTTCCTGAGAGATCGTCATTCCTGCTCCTGACAATCCATCTCTCTGCCTGAACCTTCTTTTCTTTCCTTCCCGAGTTTTAGCCATGCGGTGATATTACATCCACCCACCCCACGTTCTTTATTTAGTTTTCATATTCCTTCCTATCTACTTCTTCGGTATTGTTATCTATCATCTTTCATTACCCCCCCTGTTTAGATAGTGAGCTGTCGCCAACAATGGCTACTACTCTCCTTCCGTTCCGCGATATCAACCTCCACGCCTCCTCCTCTCATTACGCTTTTACCTCGCCCTCTTCACCGAATGCTCCCACGCTTGTCGTTGATCGCCCAACAGGCGACTTACGACTGCATGATGGCACCCTTCCTGGTGCTAAGCGCATTTCCAGTATCGCCGGTATACTGGGTATGATCAAGTTGAAGCTGGGTATGTCTGATTTGCGAACCTCGGCTAGTGGCCTGACTCTAATGCTTGACTCTTGCAGACAAATATATCATCGTGATCACTAAAGCGCTGCCTATGGGTCGACTCCGCGGACATATGGTCTACAAAGTAGCAGCAACTGAGTTCTTACCCCTTCGTGAGCGCCCGCTCCATGACCATGATGAGGACACGTATTTGGCGCTGCTAAAAGAGCTCCTCCGCACCGGGCCGATGTATTTTTCTTATGCATTGGACCTCACCAACAGTTTCCAGCGTCAGTCGCAAAGCGATGCTAGCCTTCCAATGTGGAAGCGAGCCGATGATCGGTTCTTTTGGAACCGCTTCATTCAATCGGATCTCATAGACTTTAGCCTTGGAGGGCACGATACAACGAGTGTACGCTATGGACCCCAGCCCGGGGTTGACCCTTATATTCTCCCCGTAATGTATGGAATGTTACGCATCACTCCGGCAAAGGTTAAGTCGACTACGTTCACGTTTGCTCTCATTACGAGAAGATCTAGACACCGCGCTGGAACAAGATACTTCTCACGCGGTATCGATGAACAAGGTCACGTTTCGAATTACAACGAAACCGAGCAGATTGTGATCCTGAATGATGCGACTGGTGGGTTATCGGGGTTTGCTGGAGGGCAGTCCATGAAAGAAAAAACCGGAGATTCGGGTCGAGACCTCCAGGTCATGGCTTATGTGCAGACTCGCGGGAGTGTTCCCGTCTATTGGGCCGAGGTCAACAATCTCAAGTATACCCCCAAACTTCAGGTTCGTGGGGTGGAAACAGCCGTCGATGCCGCACGAAAGCATTTTGCTGAGCAGATCCGGTTGTATGGAGAAAACTACTTGGTCAACCTTGTAAACCAGAAAGGGAGGGAGGAGCGAGTCAAGGATGCATATGAGCAGCTCGTACGCATTTTGGTCTCTCCATCGACCGAGAATACCGAGGTCGACTCAGTATCATCCGAGAAGATACATGCCCTGGAGCCAGATCAAAGGCAAAAGGAATTGGACCGTCTCCACTACATTTACTTCGATTTCCACAACGAAACAAAGGGGCTGCAATGGCACCGCGCGGAATTGCTGATGGATCGCTTAATTGATGGTCTTACACGAGGCGGCTATTTCCGTGGTGTAGAGGATCCTGGCCTGCCTGGTGGACAGCTGGATACACGATCTTCACAAGCCAGCGTTGTTCGTACCAACTGCATGGACTGCTTGGATCGGACGAATGTAGTGCAGAGTATGCTTGGACGCTGGGCTGTAACACGCCAGCTCACTGACGCTGGGGTCCTACGTCAAGGTGAAGCTGCAAATGATGACCGGGAGTTTGAGGATCTGTTCCGTAACATCTGGGCCGATAATGCAGACGTCGTCTCTAAATCGTACTCGGGCACCGGAGCACTGAAGACAGATTTCACCCGTACTGGCAAGCGTACTCGCGCTGGCATGCTGCAAGACTTGAACAATTCCATCACGCGATACGTGAAAAATAACCTCTTGGACGGCCCCCGGCAAGATGGGTTTGATGTCTTCTTGGGCACCTACCTTCCTCCAAATTCCACCCTTGGCAACCTTCAACTTTTCCTAGACCGCCGACCTCTCATTATCCAGTCCATCCCTTATATCCTTGCTGCTGGTGTCTTCATGGTTCTAATTTCCATATTTACGAGGCGTTTGCCTGATGCTGCCGTATGGCCTTTGCGTCTGTTTGTCATATTCTGGCTGGCAGTCACTGTCTGGTGCGCGCGCTTTATACTTGGGCACGGGATGCTTTACGTATGTTCCTGGGGAATTATTATATATTTGCTCCATGCTAATAGATTGCAGGTGAACTGGCCCAAATTGAATACACCGGCTGCTGGATCCGAAGGATATCAGGATGCGATGATCAAGGCCCGATCCGATCCTATCGTTGGGCAATTTCTTCCTTCCAGAAGGCACCAAAGGGGCTATAGCAATGCTCGACTTGGCTTTCTAGAGGAAGGGAAAACCAGGATTGAATAATTTCTTACTCAGGCTGCTGTCAGTGCCGAGTTCTTTTACATACTAAATGGTACGTGTCCGGTACACACTTTCGTCCTTTACCTACTTCGATGTTGCGGGTTGTAAAAAGTACCACCTCTATATGCGCTATCTTCTAGTCTCTCCTTGTTTTCTTTTTTTCATGGATTCATATATTTGCAAGTAATCCTCCCGGTCTTAATCGCACGGTTTTACCTCGATCGCATAGATTTATTTTTGTTCTTATCTTGTTTTACCGTTTCTCTCTGCGGCTTCCTTTGCCGTCTTCCTCTTGTTCGTTTCACCTTGAAAGACTGCTCTTTGCCTGTACTATTTTTTTTTAAAGCTTTACATCGCGGAAAATGGTGATGATAGAAGTCGCCAGACTACTGAAGTCATAGAAATACATATTCGGATGGGGTCTTCGAGAGTTTCTGACAGCAACTGTGCTCGGATTTCTTTAAATACTTCAAGTACTTCAACTGACCTAGATACTTGAAATGCTTAAACTATTTAATTATTAGAACTGCTTAAATCACGCAATTCATCTACTGCGCAACATGTCTTTCCAGCCCAACAGAAGAAGGACTGGAAGTCCCTCGTATCATCTCTGACTCTACAAGGCCTATACGATGGAGAGGCACTTAAACGCTCTTCAGACTGATGGGACAAAAAACATTCAGATTCTCTGGATAGCAACAATCTGACAAAGGTAACTGGCCTACTGAGGGTCATTTCTATACGACAGTCCACTCTTCACCCTGACTGCGCCATACATCCCAGTTATATCAGCGCCAGGGCCCTCGTGCTCCTGCACGATCTTCAAGTTCTCCCGTGCAACCTTGTATAGATCCACCGACGCGCCACAAGCGTTTGCAATTTCCTGGACATGGTCTGACAGCTCTATTCCCTTGTGTACTTCCACCATGGGCTGTTCGGTGTATTAGCAACACGGACTGAACGGAGCAAAAGGAACAAACTGACCACCCCTGAGTAATACTCGCCACTGAGCATCCGGCGGTTATAGATGGCATGTGGCGGATTGGGAAATATAGCATTCATCAACTTATTCATGTTCACTGTTCCGAGGCCGCACTTCTCCGCAAATGTGTTTGCCTCCGCAACCGTTGCCATAGTTGTCATGATCAGGTAGTTCCCCATCAGCTTCAACATCTGCGCCTGTCCGGGCTCTTCCCCACTCAGATCAACCAAAGTTTTCCCGACACTGAGCGGCCGTTAGTGGTAGCGGTTCGAAGGGGAGGGGGGGGTGTCCGTTTGCTTACACTCCTTGCACATAGGGCCGGATACGATCCACAGACTCTGCTTTGCCGCTTGCAACGCAAGTTAGTGACCGTGTTACTGCCATTGTAGGCTCACCCATAACTAGACAAGCAGTGGCTCGGGTTAGCATATAATCCTTCAGAGTTGTATTCGCTGAGTGCAGAGGGATACCAGGCATTGCTACGAACTCGCCTCCGGCCTCCAAAACGCGGCGGGCAATTAGGTCTGTCTTCTCTGGCGAGATGGTGGAGCTGTTCACAAAGAGCTTACGCTCGATTGGGACGGTCAGAATGCTCTCGAAGGCTTGCTCGACCGCCTGTTCGTTTTGAAGGCAGAGCCATATGATATCTGAACTCAGGACAGCGTCGGGGATGTCCTCTGCGACCCTCGAGCCTTCAAGGCAGGCACTATGGGCTTCTGCTGTACTCTTGGTTCTGTTGTAGAGGACCAATGGTTTTGCAATGTTGCCGTATTCAAGGAGGTTCTTCGTCATTGCCTACCAGTTGGTTTAGCTACCTTCTTTTCTGAACTTGACTCAGAGATTCAAATAATTGTGTGATGGTCTGACCTGGCCCATTTGGCCTAATCCAACGAAGGCAAAGCGATTCATTGTGGAGGGATATGGTGTACTGAATAACAGTTTTGAAATTCGGGCAGTTGACACTTGCTTCCAGCAATTTCCAAACAAATGTGGTAAACGTTAGGGGCGTACTTGTCTCAATGACAGAGATAATTCGTATGTTCACTGGCTTTTAAACCAAAGTTCACACAAATACCTGCCGAGGATGGTCACGTTTAGATACAGGAGGAACCGCCTTTTTGGTTACGTTTCTTAATCTTTTGACACTATACCTCGTTCCAGGCGCATGAATCCCTTGCTTAGATCTACATGGCACGCCTGGGAACGATGACAGAAGAGAATAGCGGTCAAGAGTACTGTAGCCCCAGCACGTCTAATGCACCAGGTCATAAACTTGCCTACGCTTTCCATAGATGCGAGTTACCGCTACATTCAACTTTCTGTGCCTCTGCAAGGAGGTACTTAAGGCCAGTTAAAGCGGTCTAACGTATCACCATTGAATATCGACAATATCTCGAAGTGATTGAAGTGAATTTGAGTAAGATTGTCCTAGCCCACTTCACTACCATTGGATATCACATACGCAATACGCGGTTGCCCTTTCTTGAGTCCATGAGACAATCATCTTCGCCAAAGGAAATTGTCCTTACGTCAAAATAATAAAGATAAATTACTTAGTAGATAGTTCCAACTGGAAGTGAAGATCTAATCTATCTACTTCAAACTATCCTTTTCTTCGGTGGCTTGGATCAAAGCACGTTTACTCCCGCCACACGGCCTCAATCAGGGCTAATTGAGAGCCTTCGGCCTGATGTATTCCAGCGAAAGTAAACCGAGGGTCGGCACGCTCTAGGAGGTCGCACCATTCGTCGGCGTCCCTTTCTTGGGCGTTGAAGAGGGTCATCATGCCCATATCCATGGTTCTGCAGTATGTTGCGTTAGTACTTAGACAGAGAGCAGGATAGAATGAGAGGAACCCTACCGGAGTTGCTTCTCCCTCCACAATGGGATGCAGCCTGGCTGAGGCACACATATCTCATTAATGATTATCCGAGCCCCTGGCCGCAGGGCTGGTATCAAAGCTCGCAGGATCTTAACGCAGTATTTGTCGGGCCAGTTGTGAAGAATCCAGCGGAGAAAGTACGCATCAGCAACAACCGGCTGGTCGTTGAAAAAGTCATGCGGCATGAAGGATACTCGCCCGACAAGCTGTGGTGGAAGATCTGCTGCGGCATTGGCCACAGTACTTGGGAGATCCTGTACGACGAAGCTCAAGGAGGGAAATGTCGAGGCCACGGCTTGTGCAATGTGCCCTCGGGAGCCGCCAATGTCCACCACTGTCGCGCTGTTCAACGCGCTCCAATCATACCCATTGACTACATGTGAGACATCGAAGCCTTTCCCGTTCGTCATGATGGACATGGTGTTGGCAAATCGAGCCGCGCGGGCTGGGTCTCCCTCCAGCACCTTGTATGTTGGAATATCCGTTCTATTCACGAGGGCAAACCCCTGGCGTGTGGGAAATGGCCTGATAAGCGCTGTGAGCTATTATACTGAGTCAGGGCTGGGCATACCGTGTGGTTAGGCTCTTCTGACCCCGGCCACTTTTGGAGAGCTTCCGCAGCCTATGTACCGTTAGCATTGCTTCTTCTCTAAGGCTATGAAGCATAGTGAACACCCACCCGCAATGCAGCCGGGTCCATTTCTTCAAGTGCCACAGCCATGAAATCAGCTGACTCCCGGGACCTCATCAAGGCTGATCGAGCGGTATGTGCGACTACTCCCTTTCGGGGCTCCTTGAACACCCGGAACGTCATCGCATGGCGGAGGATGCGTTTAACCATACTTCTGCTAAGCCCTGTATCGGCTGAGATCTGTGCAAAGGTCCTCTCCTCTCCTGGAACGAAGGAGTTGGCAATGTTGAATCGCTGAATCACAGAAAGACTGACATAGTTTTGTGACTGGTATAGCAGTTCCTGTTAGTATTTGCTCCAAAAGGTGGTGAGAAGACATGGTTGTTCACATACAGAACCTGATGCCATTGCGTCAACCGGGCCAATTACCAGATCAGAGATCTCGGATATGGCATCTATGAGGGCATTCTGGCTACTGGCCAGCTCTTCTGGCAGTGCCGTGGGAGCACCCGGCTCAAATGATGGGTACGGAAGATTCTGATCGGTAAGGTGGCTGTGAATCGCATTCACCGCGGTGGTAATGGTAGCAGCAAGCTCTAGTAGACGAGTAGATTCCATTATCAATTCAATGTCCGCTTTGCAAACATGGACTAGGTATCCGGCGAAAGTATCTCAAACACGATACGGTAGATTCCTAACGATGCCGCTGCCATTGTGGCCTTTTCTACTTATTGAGAAAATGTCGACCTTAAGCTAGAACATACTGCAGGAGGTAGATGCAGTGGCGGCCAGACAAACGTGACAGAGCATATGCGTGATGACCTGTTTATTTGAGCTTGCAGCAAGGATGATGCGATTATTGACCGAGTCGCGAAGGTGAAGGTCACTCGTTGCCCTGTTGTGCCCTTACTTCCGGATATCTAACACCCAAGCTGCCTCTTTTGTTGTGTAGATAGGCTGTGCTATCTAAAGATATCCACACCGATACTTTAAGTTTTCCCATCTCTGCCTCGTAAGATATAACTATACATGAGGCAGGCCATGAACTTGACATACCATATTCCTTTGCCTTATCATGCCACAGGATTCTGCAGGCAACACTCAGTCTTATTGTCTCTGGGGACAAGGAGTCATTATCCATGGTTAACTATCTTACCCCTAATATGCGACTCTCACGCCATTTTCTCAAGACAGGGAGCGGTGATGCCACCTGCATTTGATCCTTACATATGTTCACCAGCTCAACCTATAACATTATGATGATGTATCATTGATGAACCGAATTTGCACTAGATTCGTTAGATCATGTGGTTGTTCCAAGTTGCACTAGATAGGATTGCAGAAATAGTTGATACCAAGAGTGCCGACAAAAAGGTAGAATCTACCTAAATGGACGAGAACTTACACCGATGCCTGTCAGATGTAGCACTTTGTGTAAATACTCACCACGTAAGGTGTTGAATCCATGCATGAATCCATGCCCCCATGTATGATCTCAGCTGGAGATGTGCAGGGACAGCCAATGGTAAAGCCCACGAGCTTGACTCGCATTCTTCGAGCAGACCTCTCTTTACTGGTCTGTGGGCACATCCAAGGGTTATAAAATTCCACACCAAGAGGGAAGATTTCTCTCTTTTAATTCTCGCGGAACACATCCTATTTCAATTAGTATTTACGTATGACATATCGTATCACCAAGAATCATGACCATTCAAAGTCTTCAGCGCCTCTTAGAGGCAGGTGCTGTCCGTAATGGCAGCGGCAAGATCATCACATACCGTCTTGGAAACACTACTGGCCCGGACATTCACTCCTATCACCAATTGTTCGAGCTGGCCCAAAGAGCTGCCTGGGTCCTCCGCTACCAGAAGTCCTTTCAGCCGGGTTCTGTCGTCTTATTGCACTTGAATGTGCATTGGGATAGCATTGTTTGGTTCTGGGGAATCTTGTTCGCGGGATGTGTCCCTGCCATGTCCACTGCCTTCTCCAATATCCCTTCTCAGCGGATAGCACATTTGGAACACCTGTCGAGGACACTCAAGAGCCCACGGTGCTTGACAAGCGTCACACTCTTACCTGAGTTTGGTGGTCAAGAGGTGATCGACCCCATTCCCATCGAATCGCTCCATTTGTCCTCGGCCTCGTTAGAAGAACTGGGCAATATTCATTTGGACGCCAACAGCGATAACGATGCAATACTAATGCTCACATCGGGGAGTACGGGGAACTCCAAGGTTGTCTGCTTGAGTCATCGTCAGGTCTTCGCTGCAGTCTCAGGGAAATTCGGTGTTGTCCCACTGCCGAGGGACAGTTCCTTTCTCAACTGGGTTGGCTTGGACCACGTTGCTGGACTCGTCGAGATTCATTTACAGGCTCTGTACGCGCAAATGGATCAGGTTCACGTTCCGGCCCCGAACATACTTTCTGATCCGACTGAATTCATCACTTTGATTGCACGACATCGTGTATCCCGGTCGTTCGCCCCGAATTCCTTCCTTTCCAAGCTTCGTATAGCGCTCCAAATCGGTGGCAAAACTGTCGCCCATGATGAATGGGATATAAGCTCTCTGAGGTATCTTGCATCGGGCGGAGAGCCAAATGTTACCACGACCTGTGAAGAGGTGTCGGACCTCTTGGCTCGATACGGCGCCCCTGAATCGGTCATTGTGCCAGGATTCGGCATGACCGAAACTTGCGCAGGAGCGATCTTCAATACCACTTGCCCCAAGTACGACAGGCAGCAATCACTGGCGTTTACCTCGGTGGGCTCCTGCATGACGGGAATTTCTATGAGAATCACCGATGGTCCCGGGGGTAAGCCTTTGCCTCGAGGCGAGAAAGGCTATCTTGAACTCGCTGGACCGGTTGTATTTGATCGTTACTTCAACAATCCAACCGCCACTAAAGAGTCATTCACTGATGATGGCTGGTTCAAAACTGGCGATGTTGGGTACATTGATAGCAATGGTTACCTGACGTTGGTAGGCCGTGCCAAAGAAACAATTATCATCAACGGTGTTAAGCTCAACCCCCATGAAGTCGAGTCCGCGCTAGATGAGGCTAATATTCCTGGGTCGACACCCAGTTTCCACTGCTGCTTTTCTTTCTTCCCGCCTGGGGCTGATACTGAAGAGATCTGTCTCGTTTACCTCCCTTCATACAGCGTGGAAGATTCCATCGCCCGATCACGGACCGCAGACTCGATTGCTAAGGTAGTCCTGATGTCCACCGGATCTCGACCTCGAGTGCTACCACTTGACCGGTCAAAGCTCCAGAAGTCCACCCTAGGCAAGCTCTCGCGCGGCAAGATTAAAGCGGCCTTTGAGAGGGGAGACTATAAACAATACGAAGATATCAACAATGAGAGTATACGACTCCACCGAGCAAAGACTCGTGCATCACCCAAAGACGACTTCGAGCAAAGTCTGCTACAGATTTTCATCCAATCATTCGGAATCTCTGGGGAAGAGTTTGATGTGCAAACCCCAATCTTTGATGTGGGTATCACCTCCATCGATCTCATCAAACTAAAGAAAAACATCGAAGTCCATCTGAATCTTGAGTCTGAGATTCCGATGATTACCTTGATGACCAACACCACCGTTAGAGAACTGTCTCGAGCCCTACAGGGAATTCGGAGTGGAGGAAGGTATGATCCGGTTGTGATTCTCCAGACCCATGGCAAGAAAACTCCCCTGTGGTTGATCCACCCGGGAGTTGGTGAGGTACTTGTATTCCTCAACTTGGCCAAATTCATTATTGACCGACCGGTGTACGCACTACGCGCACGCGGCTTCAATGAAGGCGAGCAGCCCTTCAGTACCATCGAGGAAGTCGTTACCACGTACCACACCGCAATCAAGCTACGGCAGCCGCAAGGGCCTTACGCATTGGCTGGGTATTCGTACGGGTCCATGCTAGCTTTCGAGATTGGAAAGACACTTGAAAATCAAGGGGATGAAGTCCGTTTCCTGGGCTCCTTCAACCTCCCCCCTCATATCAAGACGAGAATGCGCCAGCTAGACTGGATGGAGTGTCTCTTGCACTTATCCTATTTTCTGGACCTGATGACCGAAGAACGTGCAAGGGAGCTGGCACGCGAACTAACGGATGCAACAAGAGAGGCGGCCCTTGATCGAGTCCTGGAGAGTGCTGATATGGCTCGATTTACCGAGCTTGCCCTTACTGGTGCTGGGCTTGTTAAATGGGCCAACTTGGCATTTGCTCTGCAGAGCATGGCTGTTGACTATGATCCCACAGGCTCGATCGGAGGTATGGATATCTTTTATTGTGTTCCGCTTGCCGTAGTGGCTTCTTCCAAGAAACAATGGCTTGAAGAGCACCTGAGCAAGTGGAAGGACTTCACTCGATCAGAACCTCGGTTTCACGATGTCGGGGGTGCACATTACACCATGCTTGGACCGGAACACGTCTTTCGGTTCCAGAAAACTTTGCGGAATGCATTGAATGCTAGGGGTATCTAACCAATGTCGTTGTAGTTTTCGTAATGGAGGGTAGAGGCTGTCAATTGTGGCCAGTCGAACCCATTTTGCTTGGGAAGCATATCGTATCGTGAGCGATCAGGTGGAACGAATGTACTCCGTAGACCGCTTCTTTTTCATCTTTCTGTCGCTTCAACTAGAATGCAATTTGATCTTCATTTCCCTTGGTCCAACATATGATGGTTGACATTGGTCAAGTTTTGTTTTATTTGCCTATCAAATGCGGTGAGCTGTATCTCAAGAAAGACGGTCAGGAAGGTCCAGCTATCAGTCGTAGGTCATAAATCGCTTACCGCCAGAGGAAGATCCAGCCCGATTACAGTGATCACTGCGCCGATGCGTTATGCAGCAGGCCAACATTGGGAATCCATGCGCCACCGAATACGTACACCAATGCAGCTGAAATGTCAAAGATTCGACTAGGTACATAAATAGACAGGCCACCCACCCACCCACCATCCCCCTGGATCCAAAGGTCTACAGGCGAAGTACAACCAGAGAGTCTGGAGCAATGACGGCCATCCAGGATGCACCCACCAAGGTGATTTCACCCTCAAAACTGTCTCATGTCGTCTTCCGCACTCGACCTGAAAATGCCGCCAAGATGGCTGAATTCTGGGAGTTCTTCGTCGGAGGCAAGAAGGTATTCCAGAACGATCTTCTGACTCTAATTGCCTATGACGATGAACACCATCGGATTGCTATCGTCCCTATCCCGGTGGTCGGTCCGAAAGTGAAACTAACTTCTGGTTTGGATGTATATTCTGTCCATCCCCTGCCGCAACAACATTCCTTTCTGTGCTTGGGTTGATGAATAACATATCATACATTAACAGCATGTCTCGTTCACGTTCAACACCCTCCAAGAGCTTCTACTTTCCTACCGTCAGCGGAAAGCGGCCGGGGTCACTCCGGTATGGTGTGTTCATCACGGTCCGACGATCAGCATGTACTACAGGGACCCAGATGGAAACTACATCGAAGTTCAGGTGGATGTTTTCGAGACTGGGGAGGAAGCAGTCGCGTATATGAGCGGGGAGGAATATCAGGCAAACCCGCTGGGAGTCGACTACGATCCCGAGGAAATCATTGCTGCGTTGGAGAAAGGCGAGGATCCGAAGAAATTCCTTCGTAGGCCGGGGGGGCGAGAGCCAGGAGCTTCGATACAGTGCCACTTCTGGACCAGTGAGATAGGTCCCTTTTTGTTTTGTTGGTGAGATGCTGCGCGACAGACAGTAATCCGACTATACTGAACGATTCTTATATCAGTAGCTTCAAAGGCCAATTGACAGCATTACTAAGTGTCCTCTGACACGCATTACTAAGGCGAGGAGTTTCTCATTTTGAGATAAGCTTAGATAGATCTTATCGATACCGTTGATTACTGTAGAAGATGCTGTCTTGATATCTAGACTAGGGGAAATAGCTTGAAATAGAGCCAAGTATTATACTTGTGCCTTGATCTCATTGTCGATGTGAGCTAAGCGCTAGATAATCGACTCGAAGTCGGCGGTGGTGATGTCTATGCAAGAGCTTACCAGGCGAGTAGTCACTTCCTCGATGTCCTTGATCAGGTCTTTCGCTTGTTGTTCCAGACCAAACTTGGAGGTGGAGTTAAGGGTAATTGACCTGTTTGTTTTGCGGAATAGCTTCCAGTATATTTCTCTGGTTGACTTGACCATCACCTGACCAAAAGCTGACTAAGGAGAGAATACATGGATCTGGGGAAATGCGACGAATCCCTCGTGACTTAAGATTATCCACGTCATACATTTTCTTCTTCTTCTATCTTCATGAGGGGTTTTCGCATACACACTCTCTATAATTATCATTATACCCGTCGGTTTTCATCCCATCCGGCCAGAATGTCCCGCAGCTATGAGGTATGCCGAGGCTTCTAAGCAATTGATCCCTGGATACTAACGAGATGAATACAGGCTGCAATTGCAGCATTGAATTCGCTGCAGACAAACTTCGCAGTTGTACAACAGCTGAGGGAGTCGGGAGACCGGCGGCAAATGAATCTAAGGTCTCTCCCGGAGACCATTGAGTGGCTCCGACGCATTGGATACCAGGTTCGCAACCCTTTCCCCCGGGCAATGTGAATCTTGCGCTTCCACTGTTGCCAGTGGTTAATTTAGGGCTGTGCAGTTGGTAGCTGACTGCAGTTCAACTTTTTTCCCTCTCTATAGCCTTCCGATCTGAACCGTCTTAATCCTGTACACGTTGCTGGTACCAAGGGCAAGGGTTCGACGTCCGCTTTCATCTCCTCCATCCTATCTCAATACACTTCCCCGGTGCCCTCAGACTCAAAAGATTCCACGCCATGTCTTAAAAACATCGGCCTCTATACATCTCCTCACTTACGATTTGCCCGAGAGCGCATTCAAATTAACGGTGCACCGCTCTCCGAAGAAAAATTTGCCCGGTACTTCTTCGAAGTCTGGGACCGGCTTGAAGAAGCGGCTCGGGTGGCCGGCGAGAACCCGGAAGAACTACGAACGAAGCCGCAGTATTTCCGATACCTGACTCTTATGGCACTTCATACGTATCTGAGTGAAGGTGTAGATGCTGCAGTGATAGAGTGTGGCATCGGTGGAGAGTACGACTGCACGAACATACTCGAGCGGCCTGCCGCGACTGCGATCACTAGCTTAGGCATTGACCATACCGCTATGCTGGGAACAACGATTGAAGAGATTGCCTGGCATAAGGGTGGTATTATAAAGCCTGGAGTCAAAGGCTTCAGTGCTCCCCAGGCTGCTAGTGCCGAAAAGGTTCTATACGACCGTGCAGCGGATAAGGGAACTCAATTGGAAATCATTGCAGGTCATCCGGAGCTAATCAGTGGTAGCAATATCAAGCTTGGGTTGGCCGGTGATTTCCAACGCACAAACGCAGCTCTAGCGATCGCAACGGCCGCAGAGTTTCTTAAGAAAACCGGGCTCGAAGACATTCCAGATGATTTTATGAAGAAGCCTCTGCCTGCTAAATTCCGTAAGGGATTGGAATTGGCTAGGTTAGGTGGGCGCTGTGAAACCCGGCATGAAAAGAATGTCACCTGGTTCATCGACGGTGGTCATACTCTAGAGAGTATCAAGCTGGCTGGTCAATGGTTCACCTCCCAAATACATGCGAATTCCTCATCTGGTGCGGTGGCGAATAAAAGGCTGCGCGTCTTGATCTTCAATCAGCAAACTCGTGATAGCAATGCCCTCGCCCAAGCCCTCTATGACACCCTCGCTGCAGCTCTTGGGTCCGAGCAGCCTTTTACTCACGCGATTTTCTGTACCAATGTAACCTATAAAGCAGCAGGTTATCGACCCGACCTCGTAAGCATGAACACAAGCGCATCTGAGGTGGAAAAATTACAGGTCCAGAACAGCCTTGCAGAGAAATGGCGCTCGCTTGATCCACGTGCCGATGTCAAGGTGTATAGCACCATAGAAGAAGCTGTTGACTTCACCCGAGACTTGGCCGCGAACGAACGAGAACGTTCAGATATTGATGAAACACCCATCATGACCTTTGTCACGGGCAGTTTACATCTTGTTGGCGGTTTCCTGGATGTAATCGAGACCAAGCCTGGTCCACAATGAGGGGATACGTCTGTGGAATTTTCTTATTTTTGCGATTCACTAGCACGTAAAATTGGGCATCTGGACATCAATACTCGTCTATGCCATGTTCTCAACAACATACTCAATGATACCCAGAAGGGCTGCTAGTCCTTTTCATGTTAGCATGTGGGATGGTATAGATTTTGGAGAGGCGTTTATCTTGGGATTCAACAAACCTCGAATTCAGTTCATTTATCGACTTAGCAAATACAGGATAGCCTGGGGAATAGTGGAAAAAACCAATTGGACTCTTTTGTCTCAGTGTATGTATTGATTTGCCGAGGTAAGAGGTCACACACACATACATGGCTGTCGCCTATACGACGATATACAGTACTAGAATAGAAATCTAATTGCGCTCTAACGTCAAACGCCAATTGCCAGAAAAGAAGAAGTTAAACAAGAGCCAAGTGGATTTAGCTCCATCAGTCACCAAGAGTATTCAGTGTAGTTTGGGTGAGTGAATGTTTACTCCGTACTTATCAGCCCGTTAATTTATGATTACTACTCTTTATTTATTAAGCTTGACCCCGCGAAATTGACGTGACGTGGGGCGGCGGACCTGAAAACCTTCCGCACTCAAACCGCTTAAATCTTACCCCCTCCTCATCACTTCCCCCGCCGTGATGTCTGACCCCAAGGATACCAAGGGCAAAGCGCCCCAGGCTGAAGACACACAAGCAGGTAGCTCTGAACAAAAGCCCAAGGATGCGACAATCACCCCCAAGATGGCGGAGAAGCTGTTGGAGAATAACCCGGCGCTGAAGAACGAGCTGGCCGCAATGGACAAGAAAGAAGCTGCGGAGGCATTGCGCAACATGACTATCTCCGAGCTGCTGACTGGTCTATCTGTCGGTGGGAAGAACCAGAAAGACATGGCTTCGTACAGGTTCTGGCAAACGCAACCCGTACCCCGTTTCGATGAGGCCAGCAATGCTAGCGGAGGTCCCATTAAGATGATCGATCCCGAGAAGGTGTCGAAGGAGCCCGATCAGCTCATCGAAGGATTCGAGTGGACAACTCTTGATTTGACCAACGAGACTGAGCTACAGGAATTGTGGGACTTGTTGACATACCATTACGTGGAGGACGATAACGCCATGTTCCGCTTTAGATACTCCCAGTCATTTTTGCATTGGTACGTCGTTATTAGCATTGGCATAAATATCTTATCATAAAATAAGGTAGATTACTGTAAACTAACGCTTGCGAACATCATAGGGCTCTGATGTCTCCCGGTTGGAGAAAGGAATGGCATGTGGGTGTTCGCGCTACCAAGTCTAGGAAGCTTGTCGCATCTATTTGCGGTGTGCCTACCGAGATCCGTGTTCGCGATCAGAAGCTTAAGGTGACGGAAATCAACTTCCTCTGTATCCATAAGAAACTGCGGTCGAAGCGTTTGACTCCCGTCCTCATCAAAGAGATCACCCGTCGCTGCTATCTGAATGGAATCTACCAAGCCATCTATACTGCCGGTGTGGTTTTGCCTACGCCTGTCAGCTCCTGCCGCTACTATCACCGTCCGTTGGACTGGTTGAAGCTTTATGAGGTCGGCTTCTCGCCCCTTCCTCATGGCTCTACCAAAGCCCGTCAGATCACCAAGAATCATCTTCCCAGCACTACATCTACGCCTGGATTGCGTCCCATGGGAACCAAGGACATTGACGCCGTCCATGACCTACTCGAGCGGTATCTGAAGCGCTTTGATATGAACCAGGCTTTTACAAGAGAGGAAATCGAGCATTGGCTAGTACACAAGGACGGTGAAGGAAAGGAGCAAGTTGTCTGGTCATATGTGGTAGAAGATCCGGAGACACACAAGATTACCGACTTCTTCTCGTTTTACAACCTCCCATCCACGGTCATTCAGCACCCGAAGCATAAGGAAGTGCGCGCTGCTTACCTGTATTACTATGCCACCGAGACCGCATTCACAGGGGATCTAAAGGCCTTGAAAGAGCGTCTTCTACTCCTGATGAACGATGCCTTGATCCAGGCCAAGAAGGTACAAATCCAGCACTTGATTTGGTGTAGTATGTTCCTTATAGCTTACAATGTTCTCTAGGCCCACTTCGATGTGTTCAACGCCCTTACCCTGCAGGACAACCCTCTCTTCTTGGAGCAGCTGAAGTTTGGTGCAGGTGATGGCCAGCTTCACTTTTATCTTTACAACTACAGAACAGCCCCTATCCCTGGAGGTGTTAACGAGAAGAACCTGCCGGACGAGAAAAAGATGGGAGGTGTTGGCGTCGTTATGCTGTAAAATCTGAACGCTCGTCATATTCTCTGCCTCAAAATGTATTTACCCTTGGACGAGAGATCGAGCAAGAAGCCATGAATCAGACCCCAGTTTCCCTGTTATGATAGTCTTCTCGTATGACCCCATTATCGTGAGATTCTGCTAGTCGCCGAGCAAGGTAGGAACGGAACTTTAGGTAATGGAGAAACGTCAATTGGGTGGACTCCAACTATAGAAACGTCAGCTACCTAAAATAGCCTAATGCCCCAGGCGCCAAGGCCCAAGGCCCGTGACGTCGTCACCCGATGAATGGGCTAGACTCTCGCAACGTCTCTTGGATCAACAAAGCAACCTTTCTGCCTCTTTAGCTTAAATGGATACTACTGGCCGTCAAGGTATTTATTACGTATCCAAGGTCTCAGCTCAGTGTGACAGTCTTGGCCTGCTAGCACCACATTCTTTTGCCCGACATACCTAAGGGTCCTTGTACAGTAGCACCAGGCCGATAAGCCGAAAACGTTTTGTATTGTGATCGACAAATGATACATAAGCAGCAGGCCACTTCTAAGAATCCCTCTAAATCTGTCAGTCAGATGCCATTGAGCACACCGCCACCTGTTTCTTTTGCAAAATGGGGTTAAGCCAGTCGACTGAACTTGGCCAGGCTTCCTCGCCAGGTTAGTAGCCCTTGATGTTTTGATGTGTTCCTATGGACCGAATAAAGAGGATATTTTGTCACTTGCCTGGTCGCCTAACCAGTTCTAACATC